TGGGGCCAGACCCGCGCTGCAAGGGTTAACTGCTCGTTTGCTATTTGTATCCTATTTCTTGTTTGTGAAAGGTCATGATCTCCTCTCTTTTTTTGACCATTCTTTTGCCATATTTCTAACATGCGGTCAAACGTGACACTCAACAAACATCTAAACAGTTCAGGTATTTCATGTGTTCTAGCTCAAGCATTTTGTACTGCCCTATTGAAGCCTGGATTTTATTTTTGCTTAGAAACAACAGCTGTATCTACCTGTTCTACCTGTGCACATAACATTTAATGTGTAGACTCCCCCTTATGTCGGTCAGTGATACCCAATGCAGGATTACACTACCATTGGCTCCAAAGGGTGATCTACAGTAAAAGGACTAACGGGTCTCCCTGTGTTTCCCTGTAAGAAACCTCTGTAATGGGTCCACAGCACACCTTGACTCTAGGGTCGGTGTCTATGGGTTAACGCAATTCAGTGATCTTCTTGTCTAGGGGCAAATTCACTCAGTTTGCCCATCAGCACTTACCGCCCTCTTGGGTAATCGATTAAAACGATGTCCAGACTGTAGATATACTGCTGAAAACTTCATTGCAGAACTTCAGGGAGAGGGTTAGGATCATCCAGGCAGATGTAGACTCCATTACATTCATTGCAATAGAAAGTGCATACATAATGCTCCATGGCAGAGTGAGGTTACTGTCTCCATGCACAGCAGGTAGAGCACCTGACACAGCAAGACTTGAGGTAGAAGTCACCAGTCATATTCATCCTTGTCATTAGTAGTAACCATTGGCATAAGGCTCCAGTGTCATCATACGGCTAGTCCACAGGTTTCAGGCCTAGACATCTCAGATAGTCCATAGCAGCTTTCCCACAGGCATAGCCCGGGGGAGGAAGAGAGAGCTCACATTGTCCACCCCAAGTATTTATTACCTCCCCTAGCATTAGGGTTGCCACCTGTCCCGGATTCACCTGGACAGTCCAGCTTTTGAGTCCTGTATGTGCTGTATCTTCATTTCAGCTGGCCTGAAACCCACAAACAGCACATACAGGACTCAAAACCCGGACTGTCCAAGTGAATCCGGGACAGGTGGCAACCCGACCCAGCATGCACCACTGACCATTAGCCTCACAGTGATTAGCTGGAGAGGAATATCCACAGCATAGCAATCTCTCATTGGTTGCTCTGCTCTGTGACCAGGGTACACCCAGCAGCAGACAGATGCAAACGATGACAGATTGATCGGGGGAAATGAACCTAGACCACAAATCAGCATCAGACTGCTGACAATCTGAAAATACTACATTTGATAGCACTCTTTCCTACAGGGTGCTGCAATGACATATAAATATTTTTGTCATGTACAGTCCACAGATGGTGCGAAATCTGCTGAGCGCATTATTTCCGCAGTTGTTCTCGCATGTTGTAAAGAGAATGCAGTTTAATTCAGAACACGTAGTTCAGCACTAACTCAGAGGAAGGATAATTTCCCTATCTGTAGATTATATGGCTCTTTATGGAGTTTCAGTTAGAAAAAGAAAAGCTTCACAGTGAGCAGCTACTGCTGGGCAGTCCCGTTAATAAGGCCCGAATGGTTTGCAAAAACAGTGCCATGAAAGAACCATACAAAAGGTTTATTTCTAGAATTATGATTTTTTTTTATAGGTCATTAAAATGACTTGAAAGCTCACAGTATAAACTTTTTTTTTTTTTAAAATGAAACTGAACAAAAAGCAATATAGTTTTCCTCTAAAACCTTGGTTCTCAACTGGTGGGTCGTGACCCAAAAGTGGGTCGTGACCCCGTTTTCAGTGGGTTGCCGCATGCCTCCCACTTTTCTAGGTGAGAGGCTCATCTGCCTCCCCCTAGCGCAGCACTGTCAGTTCTCGTGCCAAGCAGCCATTCAAAATATGCTGCCCGGCGCCGAGTGTCAGCTTGAGTTGGGATGGGCCGGGGGCTATGGCCGTGAGAGCTTCATCCATACATGCATTCCTTACAGCTCCCTCATGTGTGCTATAGAGGTGCCATGGTGACATCACAGTCTGGCTCCTGGCACCTCTACAGGGCACGCAAGGGAGCTGTACAAGCAAGGCACATATGGATGGGGCTCTGGCACAGCACAGCAGCCCACGCTGGACCTCAGCCTGAAGATCCACTCCAGTTCAGGTAGGGAGACTGGGTGGACCTTAAAAAAACAAAAAACATAAAAAAATGTTTGGAGCGTTTATGTGTCAGAAAGTCTGTGAGTGTGTGAGATTGTGTCTTCTTGTTGTGTGTGTCTGTCAGTGTTCTTGAGGGCCCGTCTACTCTAGTACTGTGCATTAACCACAGAGTCCCGTGCGATTAACGCACTGTACCACACAATCACACCTACCATGCATTCTGGTGTGGGAGGTGTGTTGCATGGCCATTCATTTGAATGGTACCCCAAACGCACCTCCCACCCCCAGTTCGTAAGCCCCCGCACCGGAACGCGAGTTACCCTAATCCCGTGTCTTCTGTTGCAGTGTGACTTGGGCGACCTTAATGGCCAATGAAAAATGTTGGTTCTGAGGTCACACAGGTTGAGAACCACTGCTCTAAAATATAAAATGTTATTGAAGAACTCAATGAAATGATAGTCAGGGAACTCTAGAAAATAGAAATCTGGCAGACAGGAATAAGGCATAATTATGTGATTGAAGATCAAATGAGTTAGAATGTTACGTTTCCCATACATGTGGAAATCCAATCATTCAGTTACGATTCCATTTTCCATCATAATCAAGACATCTAAACAGGTCCCAAATCCAGAGCCAAAGGAAATCTCAACGCTCCGATTCCTTAGCTGCCATCAGGACTCCCCAGGTGCTGGTCTAATAGGTGCGTCTCCACCTTGGAATGTAGTAGTATACGAACAGACCGCACTATCCAGAGAATTCCAATACTTCAGACTTTATTAAAATTCACAGCAAATCCAGTATAACAGTGGATACAAGTGTATAAAGCAGCAAATGCCAGCACTGCACACCCCCAACCAGCTACAACCTCTCACATGTTTCACCCGTAGGCTTATTCATAGAGGGTTGGTATTTGCTGCATTATACACTTTCATTCACTGTTATACCGGATTTGCTGTGAATTTTAATAAAGTCTGAAGTATTGGAATTCTCTGGATAGTGTGGTCTGTTTGTATACTACTAGGTCCCAAATCTAGTTACTATGTGATGCACAAGCCTCATAAAGTGAGTAATAGCTTCCCTTACCGTGCCAAGATCCAGATCCTCCTTCATTCAGGCCTCACATGCTCCCCTCCCAGACACTGCAGCTTACAGTGGGCGGGTTACGCGGCAGGGGCAGTATTTCCACTACAGAAAGCAGTGGGCAGGGCTAAGTGTTGCCAGCTGCTGATTGACAAGCTGTAAGCTTGTCAATCAGCAATGACAATGCTGATTGTTACACCCCTTCTGCAACTTCTTCTCATCCCACTGTAATGCAAGCTTGCACAAGTTACCTGAAGGTGACAACACTGCTCTGAATTAAAGGAGTACTATGAGGGGAGTGAAAATCCCTCAGCCTCATAGTTCTAGCCGACCTGTGACAGTGAAATTGTCACAGGTCGGCTCAATAGATCGGGAAGTGAGCGAACACATAGCGTCGCTCGCTCACTTCTCGATCTATCCCTGCAGAGAGCTGTGACTGTTACTCACGGCTCCCTGCAGGGATTCCCCCCCTCCACTGTCCGATCCTCCAGCGCTGACTGGCGGAACGGACTGGGGAGGGGGTGGGTACAGCTGGCTCTGCCTCTAGATAGGCAGAGCCAGCTGTCACTCACGCAGCTGGGTGGATCTCGACAGTAATGTCGTATCCGTCCCGGCTGCGGGTCACAGTATACCGCGAGCTGTAGCTCGCGGTATACTGAGCTTTGGGTGACCGGAGGACGCTAGTTTGTGTCCTCCCGTTACCCTTAGGAGAACTATGGGGATACGCCCTGACCCCATAGTTCTCCTTTAATGAGCAATGCAGCAGTGTTGTCACTCCACCACAGGAAGCTAAGTGGAGTAGCTTTGCAGGAAGGCTAAGGGAAAACTGTTCAGGTGTGTTTACAGTTGAGTGTTGCAGCACATATCCTTTTCATAATGGACCATAGTTCTTCCTGCCTACAAAGTGCTTTCTCAACATGTACATTTGTCTTAACTTCTTAGCTCATCCAAAGTGGATACAAAGAGGTCAGACAAAGCTTGTAACCTCTACAATTGAAAAAGAGTGTCTACTGCAGCCACAGACAAAACATTGTCACCCAATCCAACTGACAATAGTAAGCAACTTGACTATGGCATGCTTTAGCTATTGACTTCAAAAGATTAGAGAAAAAACAGACGACAGGTACAGGGCATGTTATGAAGGGGTCAGTTGGTGTCAGGGAACCAAGGGTGCCGCTCCTTACCAGGCTCGCCAGCGGTGGCGCAGGGCACGGGGTTCCCCTCCTCCTGGCAGGACACCACTAAGTGGCACCGCGCCACTTAGTGTTTTCAGGTGCTAGTCAGGCTGGGGGAGGTCCCCAGCACACACCATCCGCCCAGTCAGCCCTCCTATTGGCTCCTGGTTAGCGAAGCTTCCTGGTCGCCTCGGCAACCAGGGGGTGGTCCTTCGTTTCCCTGTGTATTTAAACCAGGCAGAGCCTTGGCTGATTGCTGAGTTATTCTACCTCTATGGTGTGATCACCAGCTCGCTGTGTGTAAACCTGTTGCTTCCTGAACCCTTGCCTGAACCCGTTATCGGCCTTCTTTCTCGCTTCTGAACCTCGCCGCCTGCCTCGACCCGGACTACGTTTTTGGATTTTCCCTCTGTACCTTGTTTTGGACTCTTTGTCCCTGCCAAGGGGTTCCACTCACGGCCCAGCCGTACATCCCTGACAGTTGGTTAAATATGTCAAACATATGCATTCAATAGAGCCATGAACCAATGCACTCTGAATTAATAAAGGCATTATTAAGTGGTGTTCAAAATCTATGCATAAAGGAATTACCTCTTCAAAAAGTTCCAGGCTGTAGGTGTTATCATCATCAGCAAAGTAGACCACTCCTTCAGGAGGGTTGGAAGCATTGATGTTATCTCTAAGCCATCGTAGGCCCAGGTTCCTCTGCATGGTTCCTCTTGGGGTGTGTGAAGGGGTTCTAGATAAGCCCACTTTTTGATTATGTGGGCTCTCGATGTTCAGGTGGGTAAAGTTGAGCCTGGCATTCTCCAACAGGTTGGCCACCAGTTTGGTCTTCCTTGGGCAATCTTCAACCACAATCCAGTGCAAATTGACGACATGCAGAAAGGTGTTGGCTAGTCGAACCAGCTCGGCTTTCTGGACCGGCCGTGTGTAGGTGGGTGTAATGACATAGATAACAGGGAGCTCCTCATTCCAGGGTGGGGGTCGAGAATAGAGGTATGTCCGAACAACTACGGGGGTTTCTCGGGTGGAGTGCTGGTGGACACATTGAAGAGAGTCCTCTTTACTCTGGGTCACATTGTTGAAAAGGGGTCTGACTGTAGAATTGTCACCTGTGTCCTCTGTGGAGAGAAATATATGAAAATGTAGAATTTTTTTGAGAAATTAGGCACATAATGGAAACACATGCATAATCATGACTATTAGTCACACTTTCAGTGGAGAAATTAAAGCCCAACTCCAGCCCCTATATTTTTATTACTGATCAGAGCAAGGAAGGGTTAGAACTTCTGGCAGATCCTTAAAGGAGAACTATGGGCTAAGTGTTTTCCCTATAGTTCTCCTAAGGGTCATGGCAGGACATAAACCAGCGTCCTCCCGTGAGCTAAAGCTCGCAGTATACTGAGACTGCCGCAGCCGGGACAGATCCCGACATTACTGTCGAGATCCACCCAGCTCCGTGATTGACAGCTGGCTCTGCCTATCAAGAGGCAGAGCCAGCTGTACCCGCCCCCTCCCCTGTCCGTTCCGCCAGTCAGCGCTGGAGGATCGGACAGGGGAGGGGGGGGGATTCCCTGCAGCGAGCCGTGAGTGACAGTCACGGCTCTCTGCAGGGACAGGATCGAGAAGTGAGCGAGCGACGGTATTTGTTCGCTCACTTCCCGATCTATTGAGCCGACGTGTGACAGTCTCATTGTCACAGGTCGGCTAGAACTATGAGGCTGAGTGAAAATCACTCACCTCATAGTTCTCCTTTAACTATTACCTGTGACTCCATTAGTGAGGGAGGTATGATTCAGCCAAGTGATTAAATATAGTAATACATGACAGTATGACATTAACACAAAATGAATTTACAGACTGGATGCCAAAAATACACTTCAGTGAGACATCGACTGATCCTAAGGGTGGCCATAAAAAGGCCAATCTAACATCCCCCAGGGTCTGATGAGCCAATGGGGTGGGGAAAGTGCAGGTTAGGGATATCCTCTTAACGAGAACTGTAACCCCTTCCCGATGAAAAGGATATCCCTAATTAGCAAAGTATGTCAAGCCAATTAAAAAAAAAAAAAAAAATTGGAAAGAGGGGGGAAGGGTTAAAAACCCTTTTATGTTTTACTGCTATCCAGGGCTTTGTTAAGGTGCCCACACACCATACAATTATCTGCAGATTTTCTGTGGTCAGATGGAAAAAGTGCAACAGATTGGCCCAGGTGGAGATTACTCCATCCACACATTTAAGTGTAGATGGAGGAATCTGTTGCACCTTTTCCATCTGACCATAGACAATCTGCAGACAATTGTAAGGCTGGGCACACACCTTACAACCATCGCAAGACTTTTGTCTTGCGATGGTTGTAAGGTACTTAAAAAAACGTACGATCTGCCTATCTTGCATAGGCAGATCGTACTTGCGATGATCGCAAGCCACGCCCCCTGAGGGGCGGGCTTCCGATGACCGCAATGCCGAACGGGCAGTGTGCGCTTGCGCACACCGGCCTGTATGGCTTTTATCGTACGAACATGCCACAAACCCGCCGAACATCGTACGATGCTCGGCGGGTTTTGGAACGTGTCCGTAAGTTAAAAGTCGTGCGACCGTACAGTAGTAGAGGTCGCACGGCTTCCACACACCTTACGATAATCGTACGATCGCGGGATTTCCCGCGATTATCGTACGATTATCGTAAGGTGTGTGGGGACCTTAAGGTGTAGGGCCAGCTTTAGAGAAATTTCCCCTCCATTCCTATCCTGCTGGCAATGAATAGAGTAGGGGAAGCCTAGAACCCCCTGTCAGAACTTTAGGTTACGTTGAGTTAAACAATTGCCAAAACAAAAAACACAATTTGAAATAAAATTGAACAAATATTTTCAAACCCTCTCTTACACATACAAATACGCACGTGTACATTAAAAACAATTGTACTACACATGTTGGGTATCGCCATGCACGCCAGAATAACAGGAATAATTTTAGGCTATAGGCCCATCATTTATGGATACCTCTAAATCGATCAGCTGTAAAGGCTTTTAAAGCATCACCCAGAGAAGGGGAACTACCATGGATTACAGTAAGGCCCCATTCACACAATCGCGCGATTTTGAGCGATATTGCGCAACTTTTTCCTATTGGGCTGTATGCAATCAGGAGCAATATCGCTCGAAAAACGCTCGAAAAAAGGGTCATGTAGGAGCGACAAGCTACCAGCGACGAGCTACAAGCGATATTGAGCGATATTGGTCGACGAGATGTGAACAGCTCCATTGAAATGGATTGGAGAAGCTACATAGAGCGATATCGCGTGGAAATATGAGCGATATCGCTGCAAAAATCGCTCGATAAATCGCTCAGTGTGAATGGGGCCTAAGGCGCACATTACAGTATTGTTTTATGTTAAAAAATCTGAGGGTTTAATGTCACTTTAATGCTAATGGGTGGGCAGCTGAAGATCATACCCCTAGACAGACTAGAGATGAACCGGGCATACAGCGGCTCCTTCGGTGGTGAGCGCTACAACAGAAAATTTGATTTTGTTTTGTAAATTTTTTTATATGCACTAAAATTCATTTTATGTATATTTTTTACTGACAACATTGGTTGGATAAGCAGGTGCGTAAATATCATACAATATGAAATAGGCAACTCTACAGGGTCTCTGCTTTCAGAAAATATATAATGTGTTTTCATGTAAAACAAATGGCAGTGAAAGGGTCAAGAACGGACTATAACTGCGCCTCTGTCTGTTTGACACATATAGCAAGCAGCAGAGTAGCTAGGACAAGCAAACGACCCCCCCCCCATATGTTATTGTTGGAGCTGGCATCTCATTGTCTATGGCTGCCCTGAGGCTACTTCTAGCCCTGCAGAAAATAATGGACACCGCTGTGGACACCCTCTGCTCCTCTGATAGATTGATCAAAATGGATTTTTCTGAACGACTTCTATTGTTTCTCTAAGATATGGTCAGGCCTTAAATGATGGTACATGTTCATAAGAAAGACCCAACAGGGATTGGATCTTCTAGCTGCCATCTAAATGCTGCAGGCAAAATGTACTTAATCCCAACTGACCAAGATTTTTGATATGAGACCATTTATAAAGCTAAGATTTGATTGTAAAAGACACAGAATATTACGGCCTCAAAATGTAAATTTTGGGGCTCATGTAAAACCCAAGATCTATACATGAGCCCCTTTAGTGTCTTCTGAGGCAATTGGAAAAAAAAGATGTTTTAGTAAATTCTTGAATTATAGTTGGTCCGTCTTATGCTGTAACAGAGAAAGGTCATCTCTATTTATGTTTCATCAGAAAGTGCCATATATCCAAATAATATCTGGATCCGGTTCGCAATAATTAACCTTGGCTTGGCTGCTGGCTGAGTTTACTGTAATTTTATCACTGATACACCAAAATATAGCTCTTCGTCTAGTTATTGTATATTTAAAAAGAAATGAGATAGAGCTACATTTATATCCTTTTTGGCTGCAGTGTTGATTTTCCTGGTGAAATTATGAGAGACCAATACAATAAGTATTAGTGTGGAACCACATATAAAATTGGGGTGGCCAATTTAGCGTATTTGAAGACCATGGCAGATGTTGAATATGCTAAAAAAGCAAATGTAAGCAGATACTTATTCATTGACCACAAATGTGAGGATGCTTTTCTTCCAAACCACCAATGTAAGGGGGCACCTCTCACTGACCACCAATATAAGGGGGTTCCTCACACTTACCAACGATGTAAGGTGGCATGCTGCCAGGGACTAGAGCACCTCCGGGTGGCACTGTGGAGCTGGAACCTGATCCTGCAGTTCCAGTGCTCACCTGCAGGGGTCTGCCAGCAATTATTCACCACCTGGTGCTGATCTGGGAGGGTATTTAACCTCTATCTGCAGTGAGGCCTGTGCCTCAGTATTGTTGCCATATCCTGTCCCTGCCTTTAACTCTGACTTGGACCTGTCTCCTGACCCTTACACATGAGGTCTCCGAATCAGTGGCTCCCCCCTTGTTATTCTGCTCCCTAGGGTTTGCCCTGTGGTCTCCGGGTGTAATTGTTACTTGTATTTTTATATGTTACTTGCGGGTGATGGTGGGGGTGTGTATGGTTGTGGTGTTTTGGTACAGCTAATAAATTATAGTTCATAAGCATTGTTTGGTGTGGTCACGTAATTAGTTCTCTTGTATAGATACCTGCACGCGGAGTGGGGACACCCGTGCACGGTATCGTGACACATGCTTTCCCCTGATCAAAAAAGTAGGATGGAATTTATTCTACTGCCCACCAGCGCAGGATTGAATTCCTGCCACTGACCAACAAGATAAGGCGGCATTCTTTCCACTGACCTCCAATGTAAGGGGGCATTCTTTCCACTTGGTTTAGGAGATCAATCCTCCCGAGCGACCTGTGCACAGACTATGAACCCATCATTGCCTTATTAGCACATCCACATCCCAGCCCTTGGCACACCTCTGGGTAAGGTCATGATCTTGTCAGATAAGAGATGGGGCCGGAGCATATGCACTTGCAATTTTATAGAGAGAATAGTCACCACTGTGAAACTGTCAACATTTAAAACTGCGAGTTCTGGAAACTAAGAAAAGAGACAACTCCTGCAGGCTACAGATATGTCACACGTATTCGCCTTGATTTTAATTTGCTTTGGACGGATCCTTTTTTTGCCTGAAGCCTTGACCTTTAAGCTTCAGTAACAGAACAATTCCAGGATTGTTTTCAAGAAAGTTACCTGCTGTATGTTCCAGAAACTAAGATTAAGTTATTGTTCACCTGAAATTATTACAATATAATAATTACCGTATTTTGCGCTCTATAAGGCGCTTCGGACCATAGGATGTAGGGGTTCTGTGACAGCTGTAGCTAGTCACAGCTGAGACAGGTGGCTCTGTGATTACAGCGCCACGGTCTTAGTAATCACACAGATTAGATGAAGAATGGACGCTCTTCGTCTGCTCTAGGGGCTCTATGGTGAGCTCCTATGCCGTGGTCACGGGTCCCACAGAGGAGCGGGGAACCCTGAAAACCATGGCGGGGCGGGGGCGGACACGAACGCAGCCGCTTGATTTGATACAAGTGATCTAATTAGATCACTTGTATTAAATGAGCAGCAGTTCCCACTGTACATTTAGCTCTGCTTGTCTGGAGCAGGACAAGCAGAGCTACATGTACAAAACAGTCCTCAGCCAAAAGCACCTACAATGGACACTTGAGCATTAAAACTCACACATACGTATGATGTACACATAAACATTTAACACATGAGAAAGGATTCCCGGAGCAGTATGGATGAGCTAAAGAGCCAACTGCTTGCTGTTGAGGTTCACTTTTCTAACTGGAACTTCGGACTGAGCTGGCTGATAAGAGATGTGTCACTGTGGAGGAGCGAACAGGCTACATTTCATATTTAGCTAATTTTTTTTACATTTGTATTTTTTATTTCATACCATAATTAAAAATGAATAATGTACAAAATCAGTATTCCCAAACCAGGGGGCCCAATGCAACAGAAACTGCTAGTTCTTACATCACTGCTATCTCCTTTCGCTATCCCCTGTCCATTTTGTAATCTTTCTCTTCCACCTTTTCCCCTTTTTTGCTTGCACTATTGTGTATATGCACTTTTATTTGTTGGGCTCCTTACTTCTTAGCAGGGTGAGGTAGCGGCTGGTGGGGTGCTGATGCCACAGTGTTAGGAGTAGGGCCCATGGTAGGACGATGAGCAGTGTAGTGAGAAGGTTTCGTCTCCTCAGCATGCTGTTGAGACTTTCCGTGCCAGGTCATCTCTTTACCTGGAAGGAGAAAAGAAAAGATCCCGAAGGTTAGTGACCATACATCTCAATGAGTATCTTTTATGACATTTTTTTTTGCTTATATTAACGCTTAATTTTAGAAATTAAAATGTAAGGTTCCATGGAACTGTATTTGCTGCGCTTTCTTGTAAGACTGCCCAGCAGTAGCTGCTCACTTTCAGACTGTCTCTCTGTAACTGACATCACATACAAAGCTGCGCGAAATAGGTAAAGGGTGGGCGGTCCCTCCTATGAATCATTCTAGACTCTGTGTGTCTACATAGAGTCACACAGCTGAGGATTCAATTACATTCTTTAAAGCAGAACTGGGGAAAAAGTAGGGTCAGCAGACTCTAGAGCTCCACCTGCTGGTAGAACAAGGTAAATATGAAGTATTTATATGCAAAATGTCATAATACAGATAATAGGTGAGAAAGAGAGAGAGATGGAGGGAAGAGAGACAGGGGGAGAGAGAGTGAGAGGCAAAGGGAGAGATAGAGGAATCAAGAGCGAGATAGAAAGAGAGAGAGAGAGAGAGGCAGAAAGAGAGAGAGAGAGGCAGAAAGAGAGAGTGTAAAGCACTAGTTGAATTTTGTTTGAAAATATTAATTTTCGGAACGGTTTTCTAACAGTTAATGGGGGTCAAAGTGATGAACGTTTTCCACTGTAGTGACAAAAGAAATTGAGGATGGATTTTTTTTCTTGAACAAACTAAATTGTAACAGTGAGTGTGTTTTTAGTTTGGGGAAGCTCATTACAAAATTGAATGTTAAAATCAAATGACATTTCAAATGACATTCGTCAAGTCTCTGATGGCATTATCCATTGTTCTGATGACATTTTTTGTATGAATGTACCAGGTAATGGCCAGTTTAAGAGAGGGGGGAGAGAGAGATACAGGAGAGAGAGAGGGACGAGAGAAAGATACAGGAGAGAGAGGGATGAGAGAGAGAGATACAGGAGAGAGAGAGAGTGAGAGAGGGATACAGGAGAGAGAGGGATGAGAGAGATACAGGAGTGAGAGAGGGATGAGAGAGATACAGGAGTGAGAGAGGGATGAGAGAGATACAGGAGTGAGAGAGGGATGAGAGAGATACAGGAGTGAGAGAGGGATGAGAGAGATACAGGAGTGAGAGGGATGAGAGAGATACAGGAGTGAGAGAGGTATGAGAGAGATACAGGAGTGAGAGAGGGATGAGAGAAATACAGGAGTGAGAGAGAGGGAAGAGAGAAATACAGGAGTGAGAGAGAGGGAGACGTAAGAATGAGAGATGTAGGCGCCTGAACCGGTGAACACATTTACTATTTACTATTACTGATTTACTAAAGGCAAATGGACTGCTCACTCTGCAAGGGAATTATCATTTTGCAGGGGAAGTTTTCCCGCAATTAATGAATGAGATGAAGCTCTGCTGGCTGCCATCACACTATCATGTGCAAGCAAAAATACTGCTTTTTAAAATTTTCCTTTAAAGTGGGTATTCTCTGCAAAATGAAATTTCACCACATTCACCAAGCTAAGGGAGACTTCCTCAACAAAGTGAACAGCCTATTTGCCTTTAGTAAATGGACCCCCCTTGCCGTGGGCTCAGTTTCAGGACCGCAGGAGGTCAGCACCACAAATAAGGATTGGGCTAGTGAGGTATCAAGGTGCGCGCTGAGAATGTTTTAGAACTGATCCAGCGCCCTCCCTGGAATTAGAGGTCACTTGTGAGAGGCAGATTTCCATTCCGCGTCGTTGCGCTCTGCTTAATAATAATTAGATTCCAGCTCAGTTAAGCGACCACTCCGCTCTCAGGGCTTGGCCCCGACTTTACAATGAGACGATTCTTAATAGAATCTAAACTGCTACATCAGCACCGTCTGCTATCAGAGCTGAACACTATTTTTTTATTTTTATATAGGAAAAGTTTTAAAATGAGTTTTTTGGCAGGTGGTACTTGTTAGAGTGAGCGGCGCCCGTCCAGAAGTGTGGGAGGGTTGATCACAGTTTTGATTTTATATATATGTAGATTTTTAAAAATAATTTTACGAATTGGCATAATGCCAACATGTTCTGCGGAATTAATTCCCATCTGACCGATATGCTCTATTTTCCGATATCAAAGAGGAACTCCAGCCAAAAGTTTCTCGTCGTAGATTTTTCCTGCGTTGGTTGCGCACAAAGTTGTATCTCCGCCATATCCATGGACACGCATTCACTATTTTGTGGCACCTGTATCCAGGGCCGAATTTACTCTTTCTGCTGCCCCAAGGCCAGGTTCCTCAATGCGCCCCCCGATGGCGGGGGTGACAGGGTTTGTTTTAATTTTTTAATTGTTTCTTTATTTTTTATTTTACTTACATTTTTATTTATCTTATTTTCTTTTTTTTTAAATATTTTTTTATCTTACTATTTTCTAATTTTTTAATGTTATTATTTATTTATTTTTAGGAGGACGGACCTGCAGTGTTATTACAAGTGATCTTGGCGGCATCGCCGAGATCACTTGTAAACGAACAAGGGGCGGCTTCCCCGCTCTACATTTAGCTCTGCTTGCCCAAAGCCGGGCTAAATGTAGAAAACAACTACTCGTCCGACGCCCGGAACTCCATGTCCTGGACTTTGTGAGATTCTATACCCCTGCCGCCCCTCTGCTCCCTGCCGCCCCCAAGGCCGGGCCTCAGTGGCCTTGTGGGAATGCCGTCCCTGCCTGTATCTAAAGGTGGTACAAAAAAAAAAGGTATAGGCTGCAACTGCCTACATGCATAATTACTTCTATGGACCAACAAAAGTTCTTCATGACACGGCCAATATTTGTTTAATTGCCTTTTAATGCGTGAAGCTGAATCCAGTCTTTAATAAAGGTTCTGATCATCTGTAACTCCCTCGCTGATCACGCAAGCGCAGATCTGATTGCTTTCAGCAGCTTTGCGCAGATTAACGGCAGTGGCACGTCAGTAATCTGATTAGATCAGACTCATCTACGTAATTAGTCCAAATCAAACACGACAGGAGTGTTGGAAGAACTTAACTTGCTCACTGCGGCATGGGCTGTAAGGCTCGAGAACCTGTAATTACCTGTCGTAGATGAGAATTATGGACAATATTTAAGTCATTACAGATATGCACAGCTCAGCGGTCCCTTACAGCATTGAGTTTTAGATCCCATGATAACCGCTCAGTGGGGAGCTGAATACTTTTCCCCTTCACTATGCTACAAAACGTTTGCGCAGGGGAATATGGGACCTGCCATTGCTGATCTCCTTGTGAAATTGCGGTTGCCTGGCTGTCATGCTGACCCTCTGGCTTCAAAACTGACCTAGAACAAGTATATAGGTAAGAAATTTCAGAATAAAGTTCTTTATCTGCACAATTCTTTAAATTGGCCTATGGCCAGCCTATGAGCATTCGAATATTCACATAACAAGCGGTGGGTTAGCTTTAAAAGAAGCCCCCATTGACCTCTGAAGCTGCAAGTACTGCAGAGCAATTCATCATTCTTGAGCGAATTACAGCGACATTCGCTCAAGTTCTCTTGGCAGCTCATTTCCCTTGTTCCCCCCCCTTCCCGCAGCTTAGAGGCCAGTGAGGGCTTCTTTTAAAGCTCACCCACTGCTTGTTAAGACTACGTAAATACTTCAATGTTCAGAGCCTGGCCATAGGCTCACTTTAAGAATGAGCTCAGCAAAGGCAGTCACCATATTTCTCTTTTTATTGAAAATATGGCTTTTATGAACCTTTAAAGTGCAGGACACACAAAAACAATATCTATTATTGCCTTGGTCTGGCGGCTAAAAGGTTGAAGTGATTTCTGTATTGTTCAGGGATGTAAACATAGTGCTACCTTTGGAACCCACTCCATCTGAGGACCCTCAAACATACCTTCGATTCCCAGAACAGAAAAGCTGAGCTGACTAAACAGCTGACCAATCAGCTGCTTAAACAGTGCCACCAGGCCGCCCCCAAGCTACCACCAATTGGAGCTGCTAAGCTTTCTATAGCAGGAGAAAAGCCTAGTTCCTGAAAGCCAGCTGACGTTTATGAATTTCCATGGTGGGTTGCATGATGCCAAAGAAAGCCAAGCAGCTGGGAGCTGTGGTAGCTTTGCAACTGCTTGGTGCCACTATTGCTGGTCAGTAGGGTTCAGAAAGGGAGGTGGACTGGTGGCCAGAAGTGGTAGGACATTGTCCTATTTGAGAGTGGGATCATTTTTATATTTTGATTGTATTATTCTGAAGCAGAAGAAGAATGGTTCTCCCCTCTCAGAGTTTTAGAGTTGGTCAAATATCTCTAATTCTTGACGTTTATAATGTTCCCGAAGCTGCCTTACTTCTGTGTAAACGGTTCTTTCTTGGAACATTCTCCTGCACAGTTCTTTGTAGATGTCTTGTTGCTCAGATTACCGTGATGTGTACAAACATAGCCTGGCACTTCCTGGAGTGATGATTATATCTTGGCTTTCCTCTGCCAAATCGAATTTTACCTGGAACCATCCTGATTGCAAAAAGTGAGGGATACAGACAGAGAAGGAACATCTGGGGTCCATCAGAACTGAATGGTCTATGGCAGAGAACCACAAGATCCATGTTTAGAATAGCAAGGATTGTGAGAAATGGGAGGTAAGGGGGCAGAAGTAGGAGCCATCATGGTCTAATGCTCACTGAGAGGAGTTATGAGACCATGTGGCATCTGATCTGCATTGACAACCAAAGACCTGGGCTTGTGGACAGCAGTAGAGTAGAAATGGGGCTTATAGCAGTTGTAGCTGTGACTGGCTACAGGGAGGTTCGAGTCTGATTTCTGCAGCACGGATCCCCCTTTTCTCCACTGTGAAGTTGCAATATCGCAGGCTGCACATAGCCATTGGGAACTGTATCGTCCCTGGCAGAGCTGTGCAGGGTAGTGACAGGGCCCATTCCAAGTAAATAGATAGGCTTTCTTCTTGCAATAGCTAAGGCTCACAAAGTAGTCACCTAAACTTTATTTTCAGAAACCTCAGTGATGTCACTAGTTCTGA